GAAGGAAACACTGTTTGTGTCTGTTCGGAGCAGCCCAGTGGAGCCTGCTGGACACAGGGGTGATTTCCTCTCCAGGACCCGTGGGGACCGTGTTCCCTCTGCATCTGGCAGCCCTGAGGTCCCAGTGGTGCCTCACCAGCAGCAGCCCTGGCACAGGCACCCCAGCACACCCCTGGGCATCTCAGTGTTCAGTGCCGGTGCCATGGGAGCCCCCAGGTCACCCGCTTCCCCTGCCCCAAAGAAAGGGGACATGGCCCCTCTTCACGGGGTCCTTCTTCCCAGGACAGCTTGGGCCCTCCTCACCCCATAGACTTAGGAGTGCTGCTTTTATGATTCTCCTAAACCAAATGAAGCTGCAGATGAGGGTTCCAACCTCCAACCAAGCATGCAGGGATGAGATCTAAGGGTGCAGATGGAAGTTGATCCAGGGATCCCTTGCCTTGGAGAGCTCTGGATGCCGCTGTCCACCCAGACCTGCAAGTTACGCTGTCTGATGTGGGCTCCTGCAGTATGGAAAGTTTGGTGGAAGCCTCAGCTTGGCACTGGCTTGCCATAAGCACCAGGTTTAAAGCTGTGCCATGAAGAAGACATCTGGTAAGTAGGCCACTGAAACCAACACAGGAGAAGAAAGTAGAAGGGCCACAATCTTATCCTCTTAAAATTGCCTTGACAAAGAGATGAAACTGTCTGCACCTTCTGGCACCAAGAACAGCCCTCCCAAACAACCTGTCCTGAGAGCTTTTTGCTCCTGTAGAGAAAGCAACCCTGGTTGACATTGCTGGGGCTGGAGCGGGGGATCTGCAGGGTCGCACCAGGCCAAAGACAGGGATTGGGAAGGAGAATGGCAAAGGGACCCATAGGCAACTGTTTGTTACATGGAGCCCTTGCCCTCTCCTCATAGCATGCAGGTTGGGGTGCCAGGGGACACTGTATACAGTGACTTCTGGGTGCTGGACACTGGTCCCAGCTTAGTGACTTAAATCATTGATCCTGAAACCTGGCAGTGGAGAGTTAGCAAGCAGGCACGTCACTTGAGAACCTGTCCTCATCTTTCCAAGGTCTATCTCCTCCTTTGCTGGTTTCTGTGTGTATGTCCTTAAAAAGCTGGGTCTCTCCACTTCAGTTTGATCAAGGCTCCCCAGAATTTGCTTCAAGCAGGCAATTCATGTGTAGTGTTTGTGTGTCTGAGAGAGTCAATAATTGAGAAGGGAATTATTTTGCACTTCTCTGTCTGGAAGGGCATGACTCCGTCCTCAGGGGGTTTAGTTGTGTTGTCATGGGATCTGAAAACTGCTTGAGCCACGGTCTGCAAGTGCCTCCTTGTGCCTCTACAAATACCAGAAGTGAACACAAGTGGGTGTGTGCAGTGCCTATAAAGTCACCGTGGAAAGCTCGGCATGGGAGGGTGCACCACTGGGTTCCTGCTCTCCACTCAGCCGTGCTGTTGTGATGGGTGAGTTATCTTCCCAGCTGTATACTGCATTGATTTGTGGTGCTGGGCTCAAACAAGGCCTGACTGGGGTGAGTACACAAAGGCACAGGATGATTAGCAGGACAGCAGCCATGATCTGGCCTGGGCAACACATGCTGCTGGGCACTCTGCTAGCAGCAGGGATGAGAGACCAAAGCACCAAGCGACACACAAGCTTGGTGCCAGCCTATGCTTTCCCCAGGCTACCTGTGCCTGGTATTCCCATGTCCTGTCAAGGGAGGTTAATGTGGAGACCTATATTTCAGCTTGGTCCTTTCCCTTCCCCACCAATGCTCATGGCACATGTGGTTGCACAGGGGTCCTTCCCCAGGCATGATGGCATCGCCCCCATAACTGAGCTAGTGCTGGGCATAGGGGTGTGCTGGCGGCCAGCACAGGGGGTTTGGGCTCGTGTCCCTGTGTGGGCCTAGGAGACTTCCTCCTGTCTGCTTGGGAGCTGGTATCTGCAATAGGACCCATCCTTTGGATCCAGCTTCCCACTGGCTGTTACTGGGCTGGAGTGGCTTATATAAAAGGCTTAAGCACAATTACTCCAAAAAGAACTGTTTTCTTGTGATCCCTCCCCCCCCGGCAAACTACTGTCCCAGCTCTAGCTGTGTCACTGTCCTCTCTTAGCTACTCTTGGGCTATAGGCTCCAAGAACAGATCTGTAGGCTGCTGCCTGGTGCGGGAAGGGGCTGGCCAGAGGGTGACAAAGCTGTTTCTCACTGGTCCCAGCACCCCAGGGGTGCCTGCAGGGGCAGAAGGGGCTGCCCAGGGATCCTAACGGTGCTGGGCCCTTTCCTCCCCAGGGCTCCAGGCTGGGACACGTCGGCTCCGCTGGGACCTTGTCCTCCTGCCCATGTCGATGCTTCTCCTCTGTGCAAGTGCTGGCCCAGCAGTACCCCCTGTCAGCCCCCGGAGTGGTGAGTATGGAGTGGGTGGGGGCACTGGCTAGGCACCAAGGTGCAGAGCAGGGAAGTGTCTTCCTAACTCAGCACTGACTCTCAGGTCTGCAAAGTGCTCGGAGGCCCACGAGCACCCTGGCTGTGCACAGCACAAGAACTCCTCACGAGCAAACTCCTGGTCCATGGCTGGTAGGGCAAACAGCCTGCCAAGCCTTCCTCACCCCCTTGGTGACTCCATGTGGAAACCAAGGGGTTTCTGCCCAGACACCATCACGTGGCAGGATTGCCCTGCAGTGCTTGTGTCTTTTTACACTTCAGTTCTAGGAGAGATCCTCCCAGTAAATTTTTTTTTTTTTTAGCTCTCGTTAGATTCCCTTCCTCCCTGCAAGGGAGGTCACACTCCCTGCAAACCTGTGTGCAGGGAGTGTGAATTTCACGGGCTGAGTCAGAATTACCTGCAGCAAATTGTACCTCATCAGACACAAAACAAGAGAAACAAATTAGCAAATTGGTTTGGTAAGTCAGTCACGACCGTTCAGTCCTGCTAACAGATAAACTGCAACAAGCTCCTTATGAGGTCGAGGTAGAACGTAGACTTCTTTTGCAATGCCATGACCCCCAGGGAAAATACAAATTTTCATTACATATCATCATCCAGTGGAGCAGTTTGGACACTTCTGGTCCTTGCAAGAGCGGCAGCTCAATATATCCAGGGCCTTGTGTGAGGGCCAGATACACTTTGAGGACATCACTGGCACGTGGAAGGTTTTTTCCCCTCTTTTCTTGGCCAGGTGCATTAGAAGGCTCCAAACAAAATAGCAAGTAATGAGAAATAGATCTTAGGGCTCTTACCAGGGCCACTGTCTTAGAGACCTTCGATTGCCCCATGGCTGAGCCAGTGGAAAAGCCACTCTGCACTGTGGAGTAGACCACAGATAAAACCAGCCCTTTTTGCCCCGAGTCCTCACTCTCCTATAGGAGCTCCCTGTTGCCCTGACAGACTCATATGATCCTTCTCTTTCCCACCCCACCCTGTGTTTGCCACTGCTGCTGTCGCAGGGTTCCCCGCAGACTGCAACCATCTCCGCAAGACCAGCCCCAGTGGGGTGTACGTCATCCAGCCAGCAGGGTCACCCCCACGGGTAGTGTGGTGCGACATGGACACCGAAGGCAAGGGCTGGACTGTTGTCCAGAGAAACTCTCATGACACAGAGATCACATGGAAGCAATCCTGGACCACCTACAAGTACGGCTTCGGGAATGTGCAGGGTGATCACTGGCTGGGGACCGAGTACCTGCACCTCCTGACACAGCAGGGCACCTACAAGGTCCGCTTCGTCGTGCGGAATAAAGCCAATGTCACCCATTACGCCGAGTACGACATCTTCAGGGTGGAGAGTGAGGCCAGTGGGTACCCGCTGAGGCTGGGCCGGTTCTCTGGCGATGGGGACGACTATCTGACCGACTACCACCCCAAGAAGGGGGGCATACACGACAACATGAAGTTCAGCACAACCGACAAGGACCAGGACCAGTACAGTGGGAACTGCGCCAGCAGCTACGGGGGCTGGTGGTACGACAGGTGCCAGAATGTCCTGCTCAATGCCAAAAAACACATCCTTTGGCCAGGATTCTGTGATAATGGCGACTGCGCATCATCCCTCATCCTGGTCAAACCCACAGACGTGTGCTGACCATGCCGCAGCACCCAGCCCCCCCCCAGTTTGTGGGAGTGCCACCGTCCCCAGCTCAGTGCCCCGACCCTGTGCCTGCCAACACCCCCGTGCCAGCCCTGGTGCATGTCCTGCGCCACCGGCAGCTCCTGCACCGTCACCAGCTGAAACACAGTGGCTCTGGGGCTCAGGAGCAATTGCCCGGAGCCCTGGGCAAGTGGGCAGCTCCACCCAGGTGTCACGGTGCTGCTGGCCCTGGGAGGCAGGCACTGGATTGGGGTGGATGTGCCCACTCCTGTCCTGTGGAGGGGGAGCCGGTGCAGGTTCCCTTCCCTGTGCAGTCAGTGTATCCCTGCTTTGCTTGGGCCCTGCTCCCTCCCTGAGCCCCGTATGCCCCACAGCTCTGCCCATGCTGCCCATGCTGGGAGAAATCAACTGCAATAAACCCTGGAGTCAGACTTTGCTGCCTTGTGCCTACCTGCTGCTGCGGCACTGCACAGAAGTGTGGGGGGATCGCTCTGTCCGGCCTCTGGGGTGGTGGACCTGGGGGGAAAGAGGTGGACAAGGAGACGTGCCTGCCCAAGGGATGCCAGATCTTCCTGGGACATACAGAGTTCGCTTCCTGCAGGACTGGCATGGTGGCTGCTGGGTCCAAGATGATTTGCTCAGGCAGGGCTGGGCCAGGACAGCTGTGGAGCTGCTTCTGCTCCCAGGCTGAGCTGGTGCAGAGCTGGGCTGGCATGCAGGGGGTTTGTGTTGATTTTTCTTTTTTTTTGCCCCCAAAATATTTCAGTGTTCCATAGTGGAAGACCTGGCACCGATTCTCCCTGCTGCTGACTGTCCCAGCATCAACCTGTAACATGAGCTTTTCGCCCTTTGGTGCGGTTGCTGTACACAGCTGAGTATGGCTTTTGTACCTAATCCTGTCTGTGCCTTGGTTCTCAGGTCTCTGGGTACCATATGGCTTCCAATAGCTTGTTCCAGCCTCTGTGCACCAAACTGTGGCTCTGAGGCTACGATTAACCAAACAGGGCCAGCAACTGAGCTGTGGCTGTAAGGCCACGCTTAGCTCATGGGGCCAGCAAAGCAAAACCCTCAGCCATAGTTTGCCCCTGTCCATGGCTGTGTGGTTGCCCTATGCTGGGAAAGGGGAGAAACCACCACAGATGGGAGTGTGGAGAGGGTGGTGGGCTCCCGGGGGTGTGAGGGATGTAGGTAAGTCAGCCCCATCACACTCTGCCGCAGAGGCGGGATGTGGCTATGGGTCTCCTGGGGGATGGAGCGAATTTTGAACTCAGGGCTTGAAAGAAGCCATGATTCCTCTCCTCTGTTTTTGGGAGAAAAGCTGAGCTCAAAGAAGGCTTGTGGCTGTGAATCCTGAACATGTCGGGGCTCTCAGGCCAAGGTCTGTGGCTGAGGTCCCAGGGCAACCTGCAGAATTGTGGCAGCACCGTGTTCCTGCCCAGGCAGCCCTGGCTGCCCTGGAGGCGTCTGTGGGCCTGCAGCCCTGGTGCATGGAGGGATGAATGCAGGAGGGTGCTGCTGGTAGAAAAAGGCTTCCTGGTCTGAGCTGACTTGATAGCAGCATTTCTGGACTGAGAGATACATCTGCTTGTTTTCACTCCGTTTTCACTCCAGCCTGGATGTACGGCCTAACTGGAGGGGAGAGGCTTTGGGTTCCTGGTGCACAGCAATTTGCCCAGGAGTCAGCGATGCACCCTTGCAGTGTTGGGGGTGAACTGCATCCCAGCTGCATTAGCAAGAGTGCAGCCAGCAAGACATCATCCCCTCTGCTCAGCCCTAGGAAACCACACCACAGGTGCCATGGCTGCTGTTGAGATATCCAGTGCACAGAGGTATCACTCCCGTGCAGCAAGCCCATATGGACCCAAGCTGATTCAGGCCTCTTGAACTTCTGGGATCCTGCCATGTCAGGTTGCCTCAAGCTCTTAACCCTGACCTGAGTACCCCAAACATGCAGCGCCATGTGCCTCTGCAGCGTTGTTGAACTTTTCTTCCCTGTCTGCTCCTCCAGTTACCTCCCCAGGTCTGGGCCAGCATTCACAAGTTAATGAGGCAGGGTGCTGCTGGCCTGGCCCGCTGCCCCCCCTTAGCTCCAGCCCATGGCTGGTAGGTCTGGGCTGAGCTGATGCTTCCCTCCAACCCTCAGTGCTTGCTCTTGGCCATGTGGTACCACATGCCCTTTTTGAAAGATCCCCACCTTCAAACATCTCATCAACACATACAAATATCTTAAGGGTGGATGTCACGAGGACAGAACCAGACTCTTTGCAGTGGTGCCCAGCGACAGGACAAGGGTCAATGGGCACAAACTGAAACATAAGAGGTTTCAGTTGAATATGAGGAAAAACTTCTTTACTTTGAGGGTCACAGAGCACTGGAACAGGCTGCCCAGGGGGGGTTGTGGAGTCTCCTTCTCTGGAGATATTCAAAGCCTGTCTGGACAATGTCCTGTGCAACATGGTCTAGGTGAACCTGCTTTAGCAGGAGGGTTGGACTAGATGATCTCCCAAGGTCCCTTCCAACCCTTGCCATTCTGTGATTCTGTGAAACCCAACTCTCTTCTTCAAGTGAAAGTTTTGTCTAATTCTTCGTTTGAGTCTTATGAATAACCTTCCCTTTGAAAGTCTTTTCGTACCTCACCGGGAGCCTCAGGTCTGCTCCTGGCCAGAAACTGGCAGAAGTTGCTAGAAGTTCCCAAACAAATGAAGGACATTTATGCACGTCTGTGCAGGTTCTGAAAGCAATTTTATTCTTCAGGATGAAGCAGCAGGGATATGGTGTGTACATGGCCTGGGCTTAGAGCAGCTCAGGTCAGGGAGGCTAGAGGTCACTGATATTTTTCTGCTGAAGTAATCTACACCTGCAAAGCAGAAAGAGGGTAAGACCTTGCTGGATCAGGAGGGTTTTAGGTTTCCGAACACAGTTTTCTCCCCAGAAGGACCACGCTTGGAAACCACAGTGTTTATAAAGACTTGTTCTAATAATGATCCCTAAATATCCACCGCAAGCAAAAGGCCAGAGACAAAACAGCTCTTGGTATACAGGAACAACCTGATTCCCCCCCAACGCCCCAGCCAGCACAATGGGCCCCAGTAGGGCACTGGCCTGGCCACATGCTCAGTGCACAGGAGGGGGAGGAGCACTAACGGTACAGAGCCGGTTTGATGAGGATGGCAGAAGCTTTGCAGTTCCCATTGCACAGGCTGCCCCACGCTATGCCCCCCTTGACATTCAGCCGTACGGAGTAACATGCCGAGTACCACCACCCGCCCCCAGAGCGGGAGGCGCAGTTCCCACTGTAAGTGTCATGATCCTGATCTTTTGTGGAGAACTTCATGTTGTTGTGCACCTTCCTGGGATTGTCTGAGTCCATGGCATCCTCCGCTGTCCCTGTGTACGTTCCTAGCCGCAGCCGGTAGCCGTGGGACTCATCTTCCAGGCTGAAGAGGTTGTAGTCTGCGAACTTGGTGTTGTTTGTGGCATCCCAGATGACAAACCTGACCTGGTAGACCTTCTGGTTGGTGATCTGATGAATGTACTCGGTGCCCAGCCAGTAGTCGGTGTGCACATTCCCAAAGCCGTATTTGTAGGTGCTCCAGGACTCGGCCCAGGTGATCTCCGTGCCCTGCCGGTTCCTCTGGATGACCGTCCAGCCCCCGTCCGTCACATTCATTTCACAGTACACCACAATGGGATGCAGTCCCGTGGGCTGGATGGCGTAGATGCCGCTGGGGCTGCCAATGGGGATCTCGCTGCAGTCCTTGGGCCAACCTGGGGCGGGAGAGAGAGTGATTTAACAAAAGCCAGGACCAAACCACGTTTCACCCTGTGGCAGGATAGAGGGACGTTTGGCCAGAGTGCATGGGGGATTCTCAGTTCTCCCAGCCCAGAGAGGTCGATGTGCTTGGCTGGAGGTGAGAGAGGGTTGGCCTCAGCCCTCTGTTCCACTCCTGCACCTAACAGGAGGCAGCCCCAGTGAAAGGCCCCAGACCCACTGGGCTATGCTATTTTCAGCCTAGGAGACTGATACGGACACTAGTGGGCCCCTTTGGGTCTCCTGAAAAGCGATTGTGCCACTAAAACAGGGTCACACTGGGGAGGAAGATGAAAAGGACCTTGTCCCCGCTTGTGACCTAGGGAACAGGAAAAAAGTGACCCCTTCCAGCACACAGGCACCCCTACCAGTCTGCACAGTGTGCATAGATGCAGAGCACTGAATCCTCACATCCTCCATTCTCCATCCTGGAGCAAGGCCAGGGTTAGGGACAGCGTAGGGCCTCTCCCCACCCAGAGCTGGCTGTACACCAGCATGCCACGCTGAGTCGGTCCCCTCTGTGCTAGCAGGCGTGGTCTCCCCAGGACCTCCCACCATGGTTCAGATCCTGCTGGATGGGCAGAGCTCCTCTCCCCAGCCGAGCAAAGCCTGAGGCTGGTGCTGCCTCTCCCCATCCTGCCTGCCTGTGCACTCTGTGGGGGTGCGTTCTGTGTCTGAGGCATCGTAACACCCCCTCTCCCCAGTGCCATTTACCAAGGCGCCCCTGGCCCAGAGCATGGGCTGGGGCTGTTCACCAGCCAGGGCTGACCCAGATCAAGGAACTGAACGGGGCTGGTGAGAGCACTGTGGTGCCCATAGGATGCTACGTACTGGTTTTCTTCAGAGCACTCGCTGAAGCGCTGGAGGGCGATTTCTTGGAGATGTTTAGGGTTTGCATATGGGTGCAGTGGCCTGGGGCAGCCAAGACCAGCACACAAGCAAGGCGTAGAAGGCACTGGGCTGCTAAAAGGGAAAAGATGGAGAAAAGATGAAATGTGACCCTCCCTCCAGAAGGGTGGGAGATCCCATGGCTCCAGCACCGCACAGCTTAACGCAGCCATGTGAGACGCAGGAGCACGCTGAACATGCTGGGCAGCCCCAGACTGGTCCATGCCAAGCTAGAAAGCTGGCCAAAAGGCCTCAGCTCTTTTGCCCAGGGGGTAGAAAACCTTGCCTTTTCCCCTTGAGCAGCTCCCGAAAAGTCATGCGTGAGATAGTTTTGGGTGGAGCACAACACCCAACAGCCGATGGAGCCAAGTTTCTTTCCTGGCCCCTGAAGCGGGGGCCTGGGCAGGGCAGAAGCTGCTGGTGCTTGGAGGGGTGGGAGGTGAGCGTGCCCTCAGAGGGCACCCGCTGCTCCCTAGGGCCATGCGAGGACCAGCGCGGAGCCTCTCCCTGTTGCTGGGCTGCCCTGCCCTTGCTCGTCCCTTTGCTAGCAAGGAGCACCCTGCTTCCCAGCGCAGTACTCACCCATGGTGTGTGGAGTGCCCTCAGGAGTGCTGTGCTGGGAGCCGTGAGTCCTGGAGGCATTTGTAGACCCTCTGTGGTGGGCGGGGTGAGCGGGTCCTACCCCCTCCCGGTTTCCTTTCTCCTGGAGACGGAAATCAGGCTGGGTTTTCTTTACGCCCTTAGGAAACACAAGCTGAGGTGAAGGTGGCTGTGATTCTGGGTGCACAGCCTCCTGAGCTGCAAAGAAAATAACCCCGGTGCCAGCAAGAGTTCTTGGAATGGTCTCTTCTGTGATTGCTTAGCTCCTTGGATGGAATTTCCCCTGGGAACAGCATATTTGGGAGCTTTGAAGAGTGCAGCTCATTAAATAAACACTCAAATGCCAGTCTCCAGCTGAGAGAGAGCAAACACCAGGGATGTCCCTGCCTCCCACCATTACAGCAGGGTGCTGCCAGGTCAATCCGTTCCCCTTTCAGGTGCTTTTGACAAGCCCAGCCCGGCTCTTGCTGGGGAAGTCAGGGCAACCCTGAGATTCCCAGAGAGACTGACTGTTCTGGGACAGTGTTTGGAGCGGCCGGTGTTTCCTGGACCGCACGACAGCAGGCAGGGTGTTGCGGTGGAGAGTGTCTCCATCTGGGGAGGCAGGAGAGATCTCTGTTCCCCAGCGGGCCACAGTCCTGACCTGAAAGGACGTGGCCTTTCCAAAAGTAACTTGGCTAAAAGGTGTCTGTAGGCCAGCTGAGGCAGCTGTGGTCTTGGGCAGTGGCTTGGGAGGCTAGTCATGCAGGGCGGGTGGATACAGAGGAAGGCGAGTGTCTGCCCAGGAGCAGCAAAACGGGGCAGGCGGAGGGCAGCAGTGGGGATCTGAGCCTGTACAGAGGGGAGGCAGGGTCTGAGCGTGCATGGAGGGAAAGGGGAGGGGAATTGAGGGTGTACAGAGGGACTGGAAGGGATATGATGTTGGAACCCCTAGGAACTGAGCACCTGCAGAAGGGGCAGGTGGGATCTGAGTTGGTGGAGGGCAACAGTGGGAATCTGAGGGCACTTGTTGTGGAGAACAGGGATGTGAGTGGGGACAGAGGGGAGAAGCCAGCACTAAACAGACACTGAAAGGAACGGAGGAGATCTGTGTATGCGAGGAGGGGGACAGAGGAGATCTGGGTGCATACAGAGGGAAATGGAGGACACTTAAGCATACAAAGCGGGGAATGGAGGGGATCTGTTTGTGCAAAGGACAACAGAGGGGTTCCAAGAAAGCACAATAAGGGGAACAGAGAGAATGTGAAAGTAGCTGGATAGGAATGGAGAGCATTTGAGAGTTCTTGGCAATGACCAGAATGAGTTTGAGGGGATGTAGAAGCACCCAGAAGGGAACAGAGGGAATTTGAAAGCGTGTAGAGGGGGCACGGCTTGGATGTAGGGCACTCAGAAAGGATGGCAGGGACTGGGAGGTGCACAAAGGGGAGTAGAGGGGATCTGAGCATGGATGGATGGGAACTGTGGGGTTCCAAGGCACAGGTAGGGGAGCAGAGGGGATCTACAAGCACTCAGCAGGGAATGGGGGTAGCTGAGGGTCCACAGAGGGGAACACAGGGAGCCTGAGCGTGCATAGGGAAGAATGTAAGGGACCACAGTCACATGTGGGGGAACAGAGGGTATCTGAATGCAAACAGAATTGAACAAATGGTTTTGATGTGCCCTCTGATGCTCCCCAGGATCTTTTATTTGCCCTCTGGTGCAATGCAGAGGCTTCCATTTGGTCCTCTCATCCCCTAAGAATCACTCCATTTAGCTTTTGGTGCACCCAAAAGAAGGTGCACCTCTGGAGGCCTCCGATCTCCCTCCCGTACACCTCAGACTCCTCCGTTTGCCTTCTGGTGCCACCTACAGCCCCCCATTTTCCTTGCAGTGCATCCCAGTGTCCTACATTTGCTTTCCTTTCCACGCCAGAGCCCTCCATGTGCCCTCAGGTGCCCCCTGAGCCCCCCGCTGCCTGCTCATGCAGGTGTTTCCCTTTGCAAGCCCTGACACCCCGGAGGCCCCAGCAGGGTCCCAGGCAGCAGGCACTGCTATGTGTAGGATGCTCAGCAGTAAGGACTCAGGGGTGCTGGTGTCGGCCCACCCTCACAGGCGGTAATGCGGGAATCTCTGGAACAACCTGTGCAGAGCCCTGTGGCCGGGAAAGCAACTCCTGATGGCTCCTGGGGCCAGCTCCTGCCTTGGGGTCTGGCTCTTCCCTTCCCACAGGGAAGCACAAGGATCCCCAGTCTCCGTTAGAGACAGGTTTGTGCCGAAGGACAGGTTTGTGCCCTTCCACTAGGGCCGAAGGGCAGAGTCTCTGGGTGCCCAAATGCCATTGTTACTCCAAGGTCTCTTGGGTGACAGCCCCCACCGTGTGTGCTTCTTCCATCTGTAACAGTGATAGTGTTTGGGGTGGGTTGGGTAAGGGTCTGGGTGTTCTGGGCAAATTCGGAGGCCGGGAACCTATGGGAGGCCCTTTATTCAATGAGAGGATTGTTTTGGAGGGTGAGGACAGGGGGCACTGCGATGTGGGACTGTAGTAAGTGTGGTCTGACCAGGCCCTCATTGCTTCCATTGAGGTAAGGTGTTTTCTGGCACTGGAGAAGCACAGGGTTTGCTGAGGCGGGTGGCAATGTGATGACCTTTCATCAGGATGTGATGGCAATATGTGATGGGACCTCCTGAGATCGCCTGATCCAACCCACTCCTCAAGAGAGCAGACCACCCACAAAGTTTCCCGCTGGGTTTCGAATACCCCCAGGGACGGAGGCTCCCTCCCTGGGCAACCTATGCTGGGTTGCCCAGGGAGGTCACCCTCACAGTGAAAAAGTGTTTTCCTGTGTTCAGATGGAACTGCCTGTATGTCAGTTTGTGCCCATTGCTTCTTGTCCTGGCACTGGGCACCACTGGGAAGAGCCTGGCTCCCACTTTTTCCTTCTGTCCTTTCGGGTATTTACATATATTGATAAGATCCCCCTCTGAGCCAGCAGCAGACCCACATTTTCCATGGTATTCCTTTTGTTTGTATACTTGTAGACATCTTTCTTGCTGCCCTTCTTGCTGCTCCTTTGCCCGATTCAACTCCAGGCCAGCCTTGGCGTTCCCAACCCTATCCCTGAATGACCGGACAGTATGTCTGTTCCATCAACCACCATACTCTGCTTCCATCTCTTGAACACCTCCTTTATAGGTCTGAGTTTACTCAGGAACTCCTTGATCATCCACACAAACCTTCTGCTGCTTTTGCTTGATTTCTTGTTTGTTCACAGGAGAAATACCAGAAAACCATAATGTAAACATATATAATAAAAGCATGTTACCTGTCTCCATCTACTTTTTTGCTTTTGGGGTGAGGAGTCTGGGCTGGTGGCCTCCACTTCCATGGGTTTCTCTGCTTGGGGTGGCAAGGTAAGTGGTGCAGAGCATGGCAGATCACCTCTGGGGGCGCTGCTACGCTCTCTGGTGTGCTGCCAGCCTCTTCTCCAAAGTGACAGCTCGGCCTGAGAGCTGCCTCCAGGACATGCAATAAGGAGTCGGGGTCCTGGAGGACAGGGTCACTGCACTCCATGCAGCAAATGACCACATAGCAAGGCCTCCACTGTGGGGTTGCAGCAAACCAGCTCCCTTTCTGTCCTTGGCTGCTCCATGCCATGTTGAGCCCCTCCAGTGCTCGTTGTGGCCTGTGGCAGAGACAAGAAAAGAGCCCAAGAGGTCTGAGAGGAAGGGAGACCCCCTGCCCGGTGGCTGCGTCTTTCTGCCACCCTCCTCTGCCTGTTATGTATGCTCCTGCCATCAGCATTCAGGATGGGAAGAGCTTCATCCCGTTCTCTTTGCTTCACACTGCTGTCCACCTGACCCTGGGACTGAAAAGGACCGTGATTCTCACACCTCCACCGTCTCAGTCCACTTGTTAGCAGCAGAAGTAGGGAGGGATCATGGAACCACAGCATGATCCTAATGGAACATGTTACTATGACTTAGATGAGAAATGCGAGCTGCAGCATCCAGCATGAGCACAGTGTTACTGGGTGACTGCAGGAGAAGGCCCTTGCTTGGGTCAGGACCGGCCTCTGCAGGATGGGGGAGCACAGAGTTCCTCATCCTTCTTGAACTGGGGAGCCCAGAAGTAGACACAGTGCTCCAGATGGGGTCTCACCATGGCAGAGTAGAGGGGGAGGAGAACCTCCCTCATCCTGCTGGCCACGCTCCTCTTAATGCACCCCAGGATGCCATTGGCCTTCTTGGCAACAAGGGCAACCTGCTGGCTCATGGTCAGACTCTCAGGTCCCTCTCGGCAGAGCTGCTTCCCAGCAGGTCAGCCCCCAGCCTGTACTGGTGCATGGGGTTCAACCTCCCCAGGGGCAGCACTCAATACTTGCCCTTGTTGAACTTCATCACGTTCCTCTCCGCCCAACTCTCCAGCCTGCCCACGTCCCACTGAATGGCAGCACAGCCTCCCAGTGGATCAGCCACTCCTCCCAGCTTTGTGTTGTTGGCAAACTTGCTGAGGGTACGCTCTGTCCCTTTGTCTGGGTCATTGATAAATAAGTTGAACAAGACCGGGCCGAGTACTGAGCCCTGGGGAACCCCACGAGCTACCAGCCTCCAACCAGACTCTGCACTGCCGATCAGAACTCTCTGAGCTCTGCCACGCAGCCAGTTCCCAATCCACCTCACTGTCCACTCATCCAGCCCACGCTTCCTGAGCTATGAGGATGTTATAGGAGACAGTGTCAAAAGCCTTGCTGAAGTCAAGGTAGACAGCATCCACTGCTCTACCCAGCCTGTCATGCCATCATAGAAGTCATCTGGATTACACAGTGGTATAAAAGTAAAAATGTGATAAAATGCTTTCAGGCAAACAATCAGAGGAGAAAGTAACTTGGCATTTGTAGTGGCCATGACATATAAAGGTGTTATT